ATGAATGACCCAAAACAAATAACTTAACTCACTGAAGGGTCAATATCCTGCGTGTATTAAAGGGACTGTATCAGCAGTTTCCATGCGCAGAAGGCCATAATTCGCCGACACCAGACTTGGTGGAAATACCATTAATGGGGGTACAAATCTGCACACAGCAAACCTGTTGGCCAGTCAAGAATCCGGCCCCCCCCCTTCTGATTTCTCGGATAATACTCGAGAGTTTTCGGGTAACGGGGAAACCAAAGCATTACATAAGGTCTAGTGGTCATAAAACTCAAGGCTAACCCGGGTGATTGACAACACCTGTTGTTGGGTAAACACCCGAACGGTGTCGAATTCTCCATGAGAGCTGACTACTGAGTTGGTAAATTCATTTTTAATTTAGAAAATAACTATAGATCTATACATACTGTCGGTGTTGCCAGCACTCCTCCACATCATCAACAGGCAGGGGTGCCTTCCTCCTACAACGAGTACCCTCCAGGGTATTCATCACACAGTTCCCGGTGAACTTGTTGCCGTAAAAGACCATTATTACACAAGTGAAATAACAGTGGTTCAAAGCAAGCTAAGCGAACGAAGCAAAAGCTAAGTAAATATCTCAAAACGACTTGTCTAGGACAGAATCTAGCAGAGAATGGTAAATTTCTTGCTTCCCATCTTACTCGAAACCTAAAACCGATTCGCGCGAGCGGTCTCTATTTGCATGTTCAATTGAAATACATCACGTGATTTGTTTATACAGCCAATAAGTGGTGAACACTAATTGTTCTCTGGCATGCGTGACGGAATTTTCAATTCCGTTGCGTTGAAGGTGTTTCATTTGAATATGAAAAGAGAGGATGCGAGATAAGGGTGTGGTGTGTAGAGGGAAGTCATTCTAGCTTCAGAGTGACATCTGTATGTGATGGTTGCTATGGGTGATATTATGTGATAAACGATGTTAGGATGAACTATTATTTGTCTGCGGTACGATTGTATAGCAGACAAATGCTGTTTGTATCGTTAATGAATGCATACTTATGTTGGGCGCGGCCGGGGGGGGGGGGGGGGGGCTGTGCCCCGATGGAATGTATATTTGCATAGGCAGCTCGTACAGGTGTGCGAGCTAATTCTGCTACGGAGACCAGGGCGTGGCATGAATTAGTGTGTAATATCATTCTAGCTTGAACTTTCAACGAGACAACTTTTATTTACAATAAAAGTGTGTTGTGTCATGTAGTGTTACATCAGTGGCGGATCCAGGGGGGGGGGGGCCTGGGGGGCCCGGCCCCCCCCCCTTGAGAAAAAAATCATGTAAAATCACGCGATTTTTACCTTTTTGGGGGGTTGGGCCCCCCCTGGCGCTCAAAGGGGGGGGTGCAAATTTTAAAATTTTCGAGGACCATAAAAAAAAAAAATGTGCTCGCTACCCCCCCCCCCCCCCCCCCCCCCCCCCCCCCCCCCCCCCCCCCCCCCCCCCCCCCCCCCCCCCCCCCCCCACTGAGCGACTTTTCGGCTGGTTGAGTCGTTGCGATTTTTTTTGGTAGTATACCCTTTGACTGAATTAATGTGACTTTATGCTGGTGCAACATTGAGATATGATTAAGAATAGGCCTACGATTATCATGCAATTAACATGACACGTTTAAATAATATCCAACTAAATGTTCTGTGATTTTTACAATGTAAATGTATATATTTTCAACTTGTGTCAGTGGCGGATCTAAGGGGCACAGGGGGCACGTGCCCCCACCCCCCAAAAAAAAAAATAGTGCTCACTACTCCCCCCCCCCCCCCCCTGGGGAGCAAAACAAAATAGTGCTCATTACCACACCCCCACCCCACCCCACCCCCACCTAAGAAATCCTGAATCAGCGACTGTGTGTATTCAGTTCTGATGCTGCCAAGTTCATGAAAGCTGCAATAAAATACAATTATCTAATACGGTTTCTCTCCCGTCGTTCAAAATAAGCCCTTTTTCTCCAATCATAATGGTTTGCTTTGTTTTTGACCTGTTATCATTAATTCTTTTATAATGATAATCCTATGTTATTTATTTACATCATTAAATTATGTAAGCAGTGGCGTAGCTAGTGGCGAGGCAAGAGGTACACCCCCCAGTCGAGTGTGAACCACAGGGACAGAAAAAAACTGAGCAATACTAACATAAGGGTTCAAAAGAAGCTAGAGGGAAAAGATGAGAGACTGAAATGCCTCCACCTCAAGCACCTACCCCAATCAACAGGCAGACGCGGATCCAGGATTTCTTAGGGGGGCCCAAATTTGAAATTATGCGAGCCAAATATTGGTAAGTAATGGTGACCAGCAGTGACATAATTGGGAGGGGGTGTGAGCAGGGAGGGGCGAATTTTCCCCTCCCTCCTCCGCGAAGCGCGGAAGCTTTTACGTTTCATGAAATCATTAGAGAAAGAAGACGATTCGTTGTACCATTCTCAACTCTTAATCCTTGTCTAAATTCAGTCCCCCCCCCCCTCCCGCGAAAAGCGCGGAAGCTTCGACGTTTCATTAAATTATTATAGAAAGAAGACGATTCGTTGTACCGTTCTCGAAAATTATCCTTGTCTGAATTCAGTTCCCCTTTTCCTCTCCTGCGCGAAGCGCGGAAGCTTTAACGTTTTAATTCTTTAATAAAGCTTTAATTCATTAGAGATAGAAGACGATTCGTATTTCCATCCTTGACTCTTAATCCTTGTCTTAATGCAGTTTCATCCCCCCTCCTGCGCGAAGCGCGGAAGCTGTGACGTTTTGTTAAATAATTAGAGAAAGAAGACGATTCGTTGTACCGTTCTCGACTCTTAATCCTTGTCTGAATTTCAAAAATGTTCTTTATCTACTCGCTTTTCTCCCTTCGTCCTCTTCCATTTCTCTCCTCTCTTTTTTTGGCCGGCATTTTAGGGGGGACCACCCCACCGCCCCCTGGATACGTGCCTGCGGTCAAATGAACATATGTTGATACCTTGTCCGCCCCCGGAAGCTCAGGGGTTTAAGGCAAAAATTTACGGTCAGATTATCATTCAGGGGTCCGCCTTAGGGCCCTAGGCGGGGTCCAGGGGGCAGAGCCCCGGAAGTTCAGTGGTTTTAGGCATGCAATTACGGTCAGATCAGCCTTATTTTTATACTTCTTATTTTGTGACACTGGCAGGACACTGTTTGACGTGGGGTCCAGGGGGCAGAGCCCCCAGAAATCAGGGGTTTTAGGCATTAAATTACCGTCAGATGAGCATCTAAGGGCCCGCCTTGGAGCCCTAGGTGGAATCCAGGGGGCAGAGCCTTCGGGGTTTTAGGCATTTAATCATGGTCAGATGAGCATATTTTGATACCTCATTATAATGTGACACTGGCAGTTAACTATTTTTTCTTTCTTGCTCTCTTTCTTTCTATTTCTCTTTAATATACTTTTTCAAAAAAAAGTGTGGGGGGAGGGGGGGGGGGGTTCGAGGATCCCGATCCCCGCCGTTCCGTGGGCCCTGACATGTAGGCATCTCAAGAAGGATTTTCTTGCCTGGCTGTAAATTTAGGAATTGGTCATTTTCCAACAAACGCATAAAAAAGTAAAATTTACTTAAAAGTGAGGAAAGATCTCGGAAAATTATGTCATTTCAATATTATTTGTAAACTACTGTTATGGAATTAGAAATAACCACGTTTGAATTGTATTTTCCCAAGGCCCACCCCCCCCCCCCCCCTCCCGGTCTACACCTTGTTGGCGGGAAAATTGCAACTGATATCCCTTACCTTTCTTCATTCTCTTTTTTCTCTCTCTCTCTCTCTTCTTTCCCTTTCCCTTCCCTTCCTTCTCTCTCTCTTTTAGATTTGCTAGGGGGGGGGGGGGAGGTCATTTTGGCCCCACCCCGCTCCACACAATGTTGGCGGGACTACCCGCAACTGATATCCCCTTCTTTTCTCCCTTTCTTTTCTTCTTCCTCTTTTTTGTTCTCCTTTTGCTCTCCTCTTTTCCTTTTCCTTCCTTCTCTCTTTTTTTAGCGGGGATGGGGGGGGGGGAATATACAACTTGTTGGCGGGAAAATTGCAACTGATATCCCCCTTCTTTTCTTTTCTTCTTCCTCTTTTTTCCTTCCCTTTATCTCCTCTTTTCCTTTTTCTTTCCCTTTCCTTTCTTCTCTTTTATTTTTTGATTGGGGGGGGGGGGGAGGAGGCAACAGCCTGGGAGGCAAGTCCTTTTACCCCTCCCCCAATCTCCTTCTTCCCTCTTTTCTTTTCTTCTTCCTCTTCTTTTTTTCCCTTTCCCTTCTTTTCCTTCTCTCTCTCTCTCTCCTTTTTTTTTTGCAGGGGGGGGGGGGACAAGGCCCGCTCGGCCCCCCTGGATCCGCGCCTGCCACTATGCACCACCACTCTCCGTACTGGCGCAGCAATCAACACTCTTTCTTATAAAGGACAATTAATGATTCTTTTTTACTCCAATTGTGGATGTTATACAATTTATTAATCGTTGAACCGTTTATCATACTCAGAAAACATGAATCATATTCTAATTGCCGATTAAGCTGGATTATCAATTGATTTTCTTAAGCATCTCAGAATCATGTCCTCACACGAATATTCCGATTGATGAGACAAATTTACGCCCTCACCGGCCGAAATTTTAAGGCTGCCCCTTCTAAGATGTTAAAGAATTTATAAGGTTAACATTTCTCGGCACATGAAATAAAACATTGACATGTAGGTACATTCATTTAAAAAAATATATCTTGATCTAACTTATATACATCGTCTGCTTCCTGTGAAAAAGAACATGGTCAAATTTCAACTACAGTTCAATAAAAATGAGAAGAGGGTCTTAGAATGGTTGTAGACATTACAAAATACTTTTTTAAAAATATAATGTTTATTCAGTTCTTATTCAGTGAAAATCATGCTGTATGGCGGTAGAATTTGCCATACACATTTTTCGAAAAATATACCACATTTTGTTGTTTTTGATAATTTTTCACAAAATGTCATATCTAATAATTTTCCAACAAAAGGTGATTGTCTTACTAATTATGACATCTTGTAACGTTCATCATGCCCTAAAAGGTCTAAATTCATGCAAAAAGCTGGCATCCTTGAATCTTTAGAGCAAGGAATAAAGCATTTTACCATCTGCTTTCTGACTCTTTTATTGAAAAACCCACATCACAGAAGGAGCTTATAGCTCTCAATGCATTATGTGCTGCTCGGAGCCAAATAGCAACAGCCATTGCCCCAGGATCAGGTCGTCCTAACTGGTCTGGGTTGACGTATCTTGCTCTGCCAGCTCTGGCGGCCATCATAGATGTAGCTTCAGCACTTTGCTCAGCAGCCTGTTTAGGATAGAGAAAAATGATAGGTTGAGATCTGAAAAGTAAAGATCTAGTAAAGCTATAAAGGCCAAAAAAAAATCTGAATGGATTGGTTTTCACTCCCTCTATTGGTTCCCCCTTTTTATTTCTCATTGTGTCCATCATGCTTTTTACCCATACCACCCCCTCTATTGGTTCCCCATTTCTCATTATCTGTTTCCACCTTGCTCTTTACCTGAACCAACCCCTCTATTGGCTCCCCATTTCTCATTATCTGTTTCCACCTTGCTCTTTACCTGAACCAACCCCTCTATTGGCTCCCCTTTCTCATTATCTGTTTCTACCTTGCTCTTTACCTGAACCAACCCCTCTATTGGATACCCCTTTCTGTTCCTCTGTGCCCATCTTGCTCTATACCCATACCACCCCCTCTATTGGTTCCCCATTTCTCATTATCTGTTTCCACCTTGCTCTTTACCCGAACCAACCCCTCTATTGGATACCCCTTTCTGTTTCTCTGTGTCCATCTTGCTCTATACCCATACCACCCCCTCTATTGGCTCCCCATTTCTCATTATCTGTTTCCACCTTGCTCTTTACCTGAACCAACCCCTCTATTGGATACCCCTTTCTGTTTCTCTGTGTCCATCTTGCTCTATACCCATACCACCCCCTCTATTGGTTCCCCATTTCTCATTATCTGTTTCCACCTTGCTCTATACCCGAACCACCCCCTCTATTGGATACCCCTTCTGTTTCTCTGTGTACATCTTGCTCTATACCCATACCACCCCCTCTATTGGTTCCCCATTTCTCATTATCTGTTTCCACCTTGCTCTATACCCGAACCACCCCCTCTATTGGCTCCCCTTTCTGTTTCTCTGTGTCCATCTTGCTCTATACCCATACCACCCCCTCTATTGGTTCCCCATTTCTTATTATCTGTTTCCACCTTGCTCTTTACCTGAACCAACCCCTCTATTGGATACCCCTTTCTGTTCCTCTGTGCCCATCTTGCTCTATACCCATACCACCCCCTCTATTGGTTCCCCATTTCTCATTATCTGTTTCCACCTTGCTCTATACCCGAACCACCCCCTCTATTAGCTCCCCTTTCTATATCTCTGTGTCCATCTTGCTCTATACCCATACCACCCCCTCTATTGGCTCCCCATTTCTCATTATCTGTTTCCACCTTGCTCTTTACCTGAACCAACCCCTCTATTGGATACCCCTTTCTGTTCCTCTGTGCCCATCTTGCTCTATACCCATACCACCCCCTCTATTGGATACCCCTTTCTGTTTCTCTGTGTCCATCTTTTTTTCTCTCTCTCTCTCTCTCTCTTCTGTCTTTGATCAAAATGCTAAAGGAAAAGTTATTTTCTGGTTTCATAATTGGTTGTGAAGGATTTTAATCATTTCACATGGGACAATCATCCTATTGGAATACAAACATGATTATCTTCACCTCAAAAATGAATTTACTTCCGACACTCTCATGTATATAAATGAGAGTGAATGATACAATCATCCTGTCATCTAAAACTGATATCCTAAGATCCTTTTACCAGTATGCATAACTATCTCATAGTCTAATCTCTTTTTTCATTAATTATGTCACTCCTTCAATGATTCTTCCACTCCCTTCAAACCCACATCCCCCAAATGTGTACATCTGCACATGCATATCAGGAGAATAAGAAGGTATTTCTTTTCACTTGGATGAACTCACATTGACTGCATCTTCCAAGGTCTTCATAGAGTACGAGTTGTTAGTGTGGCCTTCCTTCAGTATCCTGTATGCTGCGTCAAGCGGATCCAGCTGATAAAAATAATCATAAATATTTGTTACAATCATTAATAATTATAGGTAGTTCTATAGCGCCGTCTATCAAGAAATTCTATTCAGAGGCACATTAATTAGTACCCCCCGGCGCTTTGAACCTTTGTCTAGGACTACAGTTTGTGCTTTTACTGTGAAAACTTACAAATTAGCCTTACCCCTATATTACTCAGGCTCTTACTTCCGTCTTAGTTTTTTTCTTCTTTTTTAAATAAATCTTTCTTCAGATAGAATCAAGGATAACATCATACATAAATATTCATAACAAGCACTTAACCACATGTTTAAATGAGATCAAATCAAATTATATTCCTGTAAATCAGTAATAATCTTCCTATTGTCTTAGTCTTCATTTAGTTATATCTTTATTATTTCAAATGCACCTGAAACAAAACAAGCTTGTGCTTATCTTCTACATTGATTTTGATTAATAATGCATCTCATGCAAATGTTTCCTTTTTGAAACATAATTTAAAATCAGTCACTATATGAAAAAGATGCTTGATGCTGTCGCATGAATATCACAGTTTGATTCTTGCATGCCTCTTAAAATCATGTGCAAGAGTCAATGCACAAAATTGCTGAGGGGCGCACAATTTCCACATAAATAACAAATTTAACAAATATTTTACTGATAAACTTTCAAATATCAATACTGATCCAAAACAAACATGGAAAAAAAATTAATCAGTCATTTCTCTTAAAAAATGTGATTCTACAATTAGTGATAAGAATGAAAGTGTTAAAGAATTTTATTCTTTATGTACATGCAGAAATTGATGTCCTGTTTTATATTTATTAGCAAGGTTTTATTTTGTCAAGAATAAAACCAAGAAGATGGGAATGCTTTGTGAAACTCATAACCTTACAAGATATTTATGTCAAATCTTGCAACTATATACACAGATTCAAACCTCAGAATTTGAATTTTGTAAATTATTGTTCTTTGTAAGGGGTTACACTCAACCAATGATGTGTAATCGTCCATGACCTAGCATCATTTATCCATCCATGAATGAACCTGCATTCAATCAGCAGATGTATTGGATTTATTTTATTAACAGAAAACCAACGCTCCTTCTCTCCCCTTTCCTTTTCTTCTCTGCAAGTCACTCTTCTGCTTTTTTATTTTTATTTTTATTGTTGTATCTAAGTTGAGGGCTGTGGGCATGTCGAGCTACATCTGCATCTAATGTATGTTAATTATGCATGCATTCAATATATTTGTTTAATTTTGTATATTATCTGTATAAAATTATATACACTTGAAATATTGTATCAAACCATATTATGTTCATGAAAAAATGTTTGATGAAAACAAAAAGAAAGATGCAGAAACCAATAAATAAAATAAAATAAAATAAAATAAAATATATTATGACATATACCATGGTTCTGTCCCCAACCTCTGCTTTGCCATACTTCATAATTCTGTCCATGCCTTGCCTGAGGGCTTCTACCCAATCACCAAATCCAGGTTCATCTCCTTATGCTTGTTGAGCTGTTAGCAGGAACAACCCATAGAACTACAATCAAGATCAAAAATGAATCAAGGATATCATTCTATAATCTGATATTCACTTTATACCAGGTATGAACTTTAAAGAAAAGAAATGGGCAAGTCCTAGCTATTTTGTACCATACATAATTATCCAGTTTGCAATTTTAGTATCTTTTATGATTGCATTAAATTTTAATATAGGCCTCATAGAACTTGGAATCGTACAAAATCACCAGGAAAATGATACATTTGATGTCAATTTACATAAAGGTTATCAAATTTTAATATGAAACATCAAATTACCAAATACTTTGGACTTGCCTAATTTTAAGCAAACTTAAACCATCATATTTTTGTTGCAGAACAGCCAAATAATTTAACCAAAGTTAACCCGAAGATAATCATCAGTATCCACAATGTATATCTAATAGTATATTAGAATACAAACACAAGTGAAACTTTCTCATCATATTTTTAAGAAGAGGGCATTAATTTGATGAGAAATCCTTTTCATAGAACTTTCCTCCTTCTATGATATATCTGCCAAACCGACATATATATATATATATATATATATATATATATAAAACGAATTAGAAAGCCCAAAAAACTATTTCTTCTTTTCTTGAAAGGGAATGACTTATATCATAAAGTGGAGTGCATTTTATACCAATAAATACAAATTTAATGTATATAAACGAACGCAATATAATTATTTGGTTTCGGTCATTATGTTACTGATTTATCTACTGTGCTTTGTTATACTATTGAACATGTATAAAACGATTTATATTTTTTGTAAATTGACCCTTTCAGCTTAATGCTGCTGGTTGATGATTATATACCAATAAATAAAAATTAATAAATGAATAATCATCTTACCGCCCCTGAGCTTCCTCCCATAGCCTCCTCAGCAATAATTAGAGACATGAGACATGTAAAATAGAGCAGCTCTTCGCTTTCAATCCAGGTCTTCATTGCTGAGGGTCAGATCAGTTATTAAAATCAATTAATTGATCAATTTCGTAATGTCACAATCAAATTTAATGCACAAATCTTTGTTAAAAGAGCCTTGTTAGGCGAGGCGTCAAAAATATCGATACCAGCAGGCTGCCGCCTCACGTATTGGCGCATCGAGGCTGCAATTACGGCCGAAGCCTGGCTGGGGCAATTATTTTTCTTTTATTAGCCCAGCCGGCTTGCGCCAGGCTGGGATCTGAGGCTCGGTTTCCATTCGAAAGGCGGCAGCCGGCACATGCTTTTGAATGCCATTTCCTACCGCCAGCGGTAGCCGGCTGAGCTAATTTAAAAAATGCAGCCAGGACGCACAAGTGCAGTTAGCTGCCGCTGGCTGGTATATTTATTTTTGACGCCTCGCCTTACACATTTTGTCATTCATCTGTTACAAATAATTGTTTTTCAATACCGGTAGTCAGAAAGCAAATGACATATATTACATGTTGTTAGGTAGGTCAAGCAATAATGTTTGTCCTACCTAGCAACAACTAATGTACGCAATTAGAATTCTGACTATTGAGATACTTTCATTTGTAACAGGTGAAAATAATGACTCGTAACGAGCGCTTACAAAGATTTGTGCATTAAAATTGATTATAATATGAAAATGTTCTACCGGTATTGGGCAGAAATAATTACTGACAAGTCTACAATTTACTCAATTTACTAATGTTATACATGTAAATGTATATGTCATTTACGTCGTTTAAGGCATAATAATTATTAAAGCTGATTCAAAAGTTGTTTTCATGATAATCATTACACGGGGTACTCACAATTTATGTTACACTATTTTCAAGTGTTGTCAAATTCCCAATCCTTTAACGACTTGTAATATCCATGGAAATATAGGGTTCCACAATATTCATGGTTTCCCAAAATTGAGCAATGTGATTAAAGTTTGTGAGGTACAAACGTGTGCAAATCTTGATCACTTGCAAACGTCTGTTTCTAATCGATAAACCAGTTTAATCCGATCCAATTCAATACAATGCAATTCATGCATGAAAGCCTCATGCACACATTTATTGTCTAATACTTAAAAATCTAGTATTAATTCACTTTCATCGACTACACTTATCCCCAGAGTATAGTTAAGCTAGGAGCAGACAAGGTGTACCTTCTGCACCCCTTCTAAGGGTGGATCCACAGTCTCCGTCCCCGTCTAATACTTTAAAATCTAGTATTAATTCACTTTCATCGACTACACTTATCCCCAGAGTATAGTTAAGCTAGGAGCAGACAAGGTGTACCTTCTGCACCCCTTCTAAGGGTGGATCCACAGTCTCCGTCCCCGCTGCTGGTGTCAAGATCGTTTAAAAGCTTCTCACTCTCCATCAATCGATAGCATACACTGCTCAAAACAGTCTTAATTCTCTTACAGGACTCTGGAATGAACAAAACAAGAGGGAAAATGATTTTTGAAAAATGAAAAATTAAATCCAAAACCTGACAATATTATTGTTTTTTGTTTTTGTTTCATTGATTTTATTTCTGCGTTCAAATAACAAATACAAGTTTATACATTTTTTTACATCAGTATTACAATAGCAAATCAAATCAAATCATTATGTTTAGAATTAGTCCTTTCAAGGCAGGTACTTTTTAGGGCTGAATGGAACACATATATTGTTCTTCAAATTGGCAAAATATATATTTTCTTACTGCAACATTTTTCTATTTAATAAAATGAAATGTCTCTGAAAAAAATTACTTGGGGTAAAAATTTTGCAATGAGTAATTTAAGAAATAAACTAAATCAAATACCTGCTTATGCAGTATACTTTCTTGATGGAAATAATGAAAATCTCACCATTACTCAATTTCTCTCCTTTTCTTGTCACATGGGTGGATCCTAAAGAAGCTTGCTCTAAAACTGAGAGTTCTTTACCAAGTGATATGTTACCATGGCGATGAGATACAGATGGCCACGCTGGAGCTGAGGTTGCCTGATCTATCAACAATCACAATAAATTTTTCTAAGTCATGCATTGAACAAGATAACGGAAGAACTATACCTGAAGTATCTTTTCCGGTAATCAAACAAACAAAATTGACTTTTACTATTTTGTAACTGTTTTACGAGGTATAAAAGCCATGTAGGGTATTGGTAAGCACTCAAATACTGTCTATAATAATTCTTTATATTAGTGGATAAAAAAGCATGTTTCCCATAATTTTAGGCATGAGTTGTAAGAAACAAATATATAGATACAAACAATTTTTAAATGACTTTGCACAGATTAGCTTTTTTATCAGTTTCTGTCATATCACGGCACAGTGGAGTAAAAAAAGAGAAACATCACAATTGTGTATTTGTGAAACAAAGACTTAACTCCTTCTCAGTGTGTCATGTCACTCTTTATTTTTATGGGTCTTAGTCTATTTTATTGATCAGGACTATATTGCTACTCTGTTAAATGAAATATAGAGTTTATAATTAGAGTGTTGGTCATGTGATCATTATAAGAAGTGTACAGTGTGAGGTTTTATAATCTTCATTATGATAATTGTTTCAGCCTTGCCGAAAGTATCACAAACTGCACATAAAATGTATATAGGTCTACAAGACTACATTATTTGTGGTATGAAAGTTTGAATTAAACTTTCTTGTCATATTCAAAATGTGAGGTCATTCTTTCTATACTATTTCTCCAAAGTGATATTACAGAATGAGAAAGAACACAATCAAATTTTATCTTCACCAGAAGTCAGAACTCAAACAAAGCTTTAAAGCCCATCTGCACTAGTTTGGCCAGGGGTATTAGACCTCCCTGCAAGGTAACTGACAGGTGGATATCTCATCAAATCAGCTCTCAATTAACATAAGAAAAAGGACAATGATCATGGGGGATCAACGGGTACCGCTCAGGCATTGTTGGCTGTATTGAGGGCGCAAGTAGCTATAAGTAGTGCAGTGGGGCTTTCAGATAGGAGTGAAGACCATGCACTCACCAAGATACAAGGCTCGCTAGCTATCCACTCCGGTCCAGGATGAGGATAGTAAGAGAGATGCCGACCATCTCTAGTGATGTCATGAAGCAGCCACAGTAAACCCTCTCTACGACTCTACCTTCACTCCTGCATCACCTGCAATAGAAGCGAAAAGGTTCACAAGATCTAAACAAATGTAAACAATAACACAAAAGTTTTCTCAGGAAAAAACAAGATTCTACGAAAAAATCAGCAACCATGGCGAGCAAGACACGTGAGGCGGCGAGCAAGGCAAGTGAGGCGGCAACCAAGGCAGACATGGCCGAGCTGACCAACACGATTGTGAGTCGATTTGATGGGCTGGCCGCCAACGTGGCAACCATTAAAAAAGACATTACCGAACTGCGCAAGGGACTAGAAGACCTAAAAGCGACAGCTATCGACTCAACCGCAAGAATAAATGATTTAGAACAGAGCATACATGTACCTGCATTAAAGAACGAATGCTTAAAGGCAGAGAAGGAGCTGAGAGAAGCCATATCTTGGCGATGGACATTCACAACAGAAAGCAGAACCTAGTAATATACGGAATAGCAAAGGAAGCAGGAGAGAATTAATGTGCAAAGAAAGGTACGAGATGTGATTGGAAATTTGTGGTTATCGGGAGAAGTTGTCACAAATATGTCGTTGATAAACGCCCATCGACTGCCTCGTAGATACGTACCCTGGCCCACCGGGAGAGAAGCGAGGACCCGACCCCTTGATTGTACGATTCGGTACCATGTTTGACCGTGATCTCGTACTACGGCAGTATCAACAGAAACAACGCGACTTAATGGTGGCTGCGAGGGAAAATCGTGATGCCCAGAACCGACTTCCATTCAGGCTCCTTATCGACCTACCCCACTTTTGAAGCGACGCCGTTTCGAGCTGGAAAAATGTGCCTACAGATTAAGGAAAGAAGGAAATCAGTCAACGAGAATCCGCGTATAGTTGGAATCGAAGTAGTGCTCGAGAAGCGAGAGAAAGGTTCGACATCGGCTTGGAAAAGAGAAGTTGAGTAGATTGAAGTTGAAAAATGTCATCATCATCATGGTCACCAGTTCATTTTCCTATATATTTTGTTGATATTGAAGTTAGTATTGATACCGTCAATACTACTAAAGCGATTTATCTTCAACGATTGAAAACTTGAAAAGTGTGACTACTAATACTAGTATTACAGATAAAGAAAAGAAAGAAATCAACTAAGATTCCTGTTATCTGAATCGATTGTGATAATGAGACAGACCAAGGGAAAAAGTCTACATCTACATCGGCTTGAAGTTGAAGGACTAAAAGACCTAAGATATCAACAGATGGTGAGGATTATTTTTATTTATCTTTGGTACATTTTCTTTCTTTTTTTATATAGGAATCAAATATTCAGTTTGTATCACTCCAAAGTGACAAATAAAATGTGAAGAATGTTAAGATTAAGATTCAAGCAGTTCTTTGGGCAATGAAGAAAAGCCATGCATGATGTACATCATGATATTTTGTATTATGTCCAATAGTAAATTACCCACTATTTTGTTGGGAATGTTGGTACATGTATGTAAAATAATGACAGGAGAGAATGTGGATATAACTGTAAAACAGTTCGAAAATCAGGCAGATTATTCCTTGCATTTACACTGTAGATTTTGTCTGTCTAAGATATTTAGAGTGTAATGAACATAAACATTCTTTTGATTTGAACTTAAATTTCCTTATATCCATAGAAAATGTCATTTTCAGAGGATGCTCTGATTTTGATACGTTTTCATTTTTTCACTTATTGTAGTACTCCTAAAAGAAGGAAGGTAGAGAAAATGTTATGTTTAGAGGATGCTCTGATTTTGATACGTTCTCATTTTGTAACTTATTGTAGTACTCCTATTAAAGGGGCACGTTCCCGCCAGTGTAGTTATCGCTGCTCTAGTCATCGCCATCTTGGTTCCGAAGATCGACTTCTAATTTGCATACAGCTAGCTGTCAATCAAAGTACGCGCGGCCTGGCCTGCCTTCGCCAAGCCAGCTGATCGCTACCGATCGTGACGTCACGAAAGTGGGTGGAAACAGCAGCCGAATCTTAGAGCCGAACTACGATTGGTATTACTTCGGCACATGTATGCGATAATCGGCAGTGTGCGGGCATTCGGAACATGCCATCTGCGTAAGAGCCGTATTCTGTTGGTGTCAATAGGCAGCTAGCACCGTCCGCCAGCGGGTACGTATTTTGAACGCCCTCTGGAATACGGGGAACATGCCCCTTTAAGAAGGAAGGTAGAGAAAATTTTATGTTCAGAGGATGCTCTGATTTTGATACGATTTCATTTTTTTTCTTCACTTATTGTAGTACTCCTAAAAGAAAGAAGGTAGAGAAAATTTTATGTTCAGAGGATGTACTGATTTTGATACGTTTTCATTTTGTAACTTATTGTAGTACTCCTAAAAGAAGGAAGGTAGAGAAAATGTTATGTTCAGAGGATGTTCTGATTTTGATACGTTTCCATTTTGTAACTTATTGTAGTACTCCATAAAAGAAGGAAGGTAGAGCAAATTTTATGTTCAGAGGATGTTCTGATTTTGATACGTTTTCATTTTTTGCACTTATTGTAGTACCCCTAAAAAGGGAAAGATTATGAATCAAAGTTGCCAGAAGTAAATTTTCATTATACTTCCAGTCTCTGAATTGTTGTTTATCTTTTAATTTTCTTATGTTAAAAAAAAAAAGACTGAGGTATTCGTTTTTGGGAAGGATTCTAAGGATCTGAGGATTCTAAAAGTCATATTTTTGACTTGCAAGACAGCAACATTACACTCATTTAGTTCATTGGCAGTGGAGAATAGTACTTTTAGTTTAGTTCTGGATGCAGGATTTGGCAACGCTAAAGAATGTATTCAGATGTACACTGTACAGGTGTAGATCTCGTAAGAAACCATGCGCATACCTTCAACAGGTGTCTTCCTTTGTAAATTTCAATAAGCCTTTATAGAAATGTACTTGCTTGAACTCTTGAACTTAAGATGTTGCACCATCTATCTCTAGATCTCTCTTTCTGTTACACTCCCTGCTATGTAAATTAATGTAAATCGTTGCTCTCGTATTTCAAAGGGTCTTGAGAGGATTTATTTTGGCCACAATGCTGTTGCCCGTGGCTTGTCGGTCGTGTCGTTACTCGACCTTTGTGTTTGATGTTTGTGTTTTTGTATGTGTGTTAGTTGTATTTATATTGAAAAAATCTTCCACAGGTAGTTCGTCGTCTTTTTTCGCCTCGGTACTCTCGTCTGATGCAGGGTGACATTACTTTTATTTCAATGAATTGTCACGGCCTAGCAAATGATAAGAAAAGAGAAGATGTTTTGTTATATTTGAAATCTAAACAATATAATGTATGTTGTATTCAAGACACTCATTTCACTCCTGACATAGAAACAGAAATATGTCGCAAATGGGGAGGCAAGTGTTTTTTCTCTTATCATACATCCAGCTCTAGAGGTGTAGCAATTTTGTTTAAGGATACTATTCCGGTCAAAGTTAATCAAAGTAGAATAGACAATGGTGGAAACTTAGTAGTTTTAGATTTGACATTATATGAGTACGACATTACACTGGCGTCTTTATATGGCCCGAACACTGATAATCCAACTTTTTATACTGATTTACAACGTATCATAACAGAGTTCGAAAATCCACATGTTGTTATTTGTGGAGACTGGAATTTAGTGCAGGACCAGACCCTTGATACTCATAATTATGTTCATGTAAATAATCCTAGGGCGAGACAGCAGGTTAAAAATATGAAGGACGAATTAGATCTATGTGACCCATGGAGAATTAGATATCCTGTGAAAAAATATTACACGTGGCGCCAGCCGAACCCTTTTAAACAAAGTAGATTAGACCTTTTTTTTATATCATCAGAATTACTATCATTAGTTCATAAATCTGATATTTTATCTGGTTATCGAACAGATCACTCATTAGTTCGTCTTAGCTTGTCTTTAAATAAAATTAAACGGGGTCCGGGAATTTGGAAATTTAATAATTCTCTAAGATGAAAATTTTGTGTCAAAAATTATAAAAACTATAAAAGAGACAATTACATTTTATGCAAATTATCGAATGATAAGACCGCATTACTAAAAGAATCAAGTGACAAAAAGTCACAACTTGAAACCTATCGCTTAAAAGTAAATGATGGAATTATCATGAGATCTAGAATCAAATGGATGGAGCTGGGAGAAAGGTCATCAAAATATTTTTTAAACTTGGAAAAACAGAATAAAGTAAATAAAGAAATACGGCAATTGTCAACAGAAAATGGAGATGTTATTAGTGGACAAGATGGTATATCTAACAAAATCTTTAAATTTTATTTAAACTTATATAAGGCGAAAGACACTGAAGAGGTAGATATAGACACATTATTAAACTATCCAGATATTCCTAAGTTAACTCCATTATTAGAAGGTCCTTTGAGTGAAAGTGAGGTTTGTTTAATGCTAAAAAGTATGAAAAATAATAAATCCCCTGGGCAAGATGGCTTCACCGTTGAATTTTTTCGTTTCTTTTGGCAATATCTTAAAACGTTCATTATCAGATCTTTGAAATTTGCTTATTTTACAGGAGAATTGTCGCAGTCACAAAAATTAGGAATTATCACTTTAATTCCTAAAGGAAACAAGCCTCGACATTTATTAAAGAATCAGCGTCCTATTTCACTTTTAAATATTATATACAAAATAGCATCTGGGTGCATAGCTAATCGATTAAAGCAAGTATTGCCCCGCTTGATACATGAAAATCAAAAAGGATTTTTGAAAGGCCGTTTTATCGGAGAAAATATTTGTTTACTTTATGATATACATGTATTATTATATACCGAACTTAATGATATTCCAGGCATGTTGTTGATGATTGATTTTGAAAAGGCCTTCGATTGTATATCTCACAAGTTTCTAATCAATGTCCTCGACTTTTTTCATTTTGGGCCATCGCTGAAAAAATGGATCAATCTATTTTATCAAAATGCTTCTTCTTGTGTCACAGTAAATGGTTTTTGCACAGAAAGATTTACTATAGGACAAGGGTGTCGTCAAGGAGACCCATTATCTCCATACCTGTTTTTACTTGTTAGTGAAATATTAGGAATTTTGATTAGACATTCCAATGATTTAATTGGCTTGCATCTACAGGGAAAAAATAGTAAATTACTACAATACGCAGATGACACTATTTTGACACTTAACGGTACAAAAGAAGATTTACAGAGCTCATTGAAAATATTGGGTGATTTTGAAGAAATGTCAAACCTAAAGATCAATATTACAAAAACTCATGTGATATGGATTGGCAAAAATAGAGCCTGCAAAAAACAGCTAATGCCAGAGCACAAACTAAATTGGTTATCAGAAGGTTATTCGAGATACTTAGGAATAGATTTTTCGGTTAACTTAGTAGAGATGGTAAATCATAATTATACTGAAAAAATTAAAGATATAAAACGCCAAATTATTTCGTGGTCCAAACGAACCTTAACTGTGTGTCCTCGGAAGAATAACTGTAGTCAAATCTTTGTTGGTGCCAAACTTGAACTATTTGTTGCTTTCACTTCCAGAACCGAATTCGCAAATTATGAAAGATATAAATCGTTCTTTGTATGCATTTATATGGGGTAACAAACCTGATAAAATCAATAGAGAACAAATGTGTCAACTGTATAATAAAGGTGGGGTTAAGATGATTGATATTTACATTCATGCTAAATCCCTGAAAATATCATGGATTAGAAGATTTGTAACTAATTCTCAGATAGAAAGTTTCACTTTTCACATGTTCAATTCATTCTTGCCCCAAACCTATTTTTTTCACCTGTATATGGGCTCACATTATTTTAGAAAATTAGCAGACTTGACTCCAAATCCATTTTGGAAAGAGGTCCTTTTCGCTTGGTCAGACTTGGTCGAACTTCTTATTGACGACATTGCAAGTCAACCTCTCTGGAATAACCCCCACATTAAAATAAATGACAAAGTGGTATTTTGGGGCGCTTGGAATTTACGAGGAATACGTTTTGTGAATGACATCCTAAAATTAGATGGTTCTTTTTGTTCATATTTTGAGTTTCAACGGAGATTTGACATACAAACAAACTTCCTCCAGTAAATGGTCTTTATAATGCAATTCGGTCAGGTTTTAAAATGACTACACATGTAGCTCCTAGTAAGGCCTTAGCACCTATCATTCCCGAAGCCGTGCACCTTGTGGTGAAAACAAATGTTGGTTGTTCACATATTTATCAGTCTTTGCTAAAAAACAAAGTAAAAGAATGTAAAGCCCTTACAAAGTGGTAAAGTTTTTTAGATTTTCAAGATGTACTTTGGGGTTCGTATTGTCCAATTCCATTTCAGTCAACACACATGAGGTGGTTTCAAATCAAGATTTTAAATAGACTATTATATATGAAGGACAGTTTGTTAAGATTTGGTGTAGTGGCTGACAAGAAGTGTACTTTTTGTAGTAACAATGATGAAACTATCATACATGTTTTTTGCTTTTGTAACTATTCTAATTAGGGTAATTCTAATGAAGTATGGTCGAAGTTAGAGTTCTGGATATTTCGTAATACGGGGGAAAGGATCAAATTTACAAATCAAAATAAATTGTTTGGGTTTTGCGGTAGCAATAATAATGCACTCAACTGTGTTCTGATGGTTGTAAGACAAGAAATATTTTCAGCTAAATTACGAAATCAACTACCATCATTTGATATAATTTTATCAGCTGTAAAACGTTATTATGAAATGGAAAAATATATATACCAAACAAATCTCAGAGAGAATAAACTGAAAAAGAAATGGTTTCACTTTAGAAAATATTTTGAGAGTGTTGGAAATGTGCTAACATAAACATGATCATGTATTTTATGTTTGGTATTTTTTTTAATTATATATTTAAAGTACTAATATTGTCATAAATGTTTGTTTTTGTCTGCCCCAAAAGTTTTTGGCCGTGATGATTATTATCTGTGTCAAGCCATTATGTATGGAAATTATTTCTTTAATTATTTGTATATGATATATGGATGTTCTGTATATGATGAAATTTGTTTTGAAAATAAAGAACCCTGTGGAAGGGGGAAAAAATAAAAAATAAATAATAATAATTGATCCAACTTGAGATTCTGGACTTTAATGTGCCCAGTCAGTACAGCCAAAGACCCCGTTCTCATTCACTTCTCAGACCCATCCAGGCTAGATCAGTCTAACAGTGAGTGTGAACAGACAAATAGTCAAGTCGGGTATAGGAAATTGTATATAAATCTGCCCTCGGGAAAGTTACTATTTATGCCTCCTCATTAGCTAATTTTTTTGCTAGACCCTCGAAAGGTATTGTATAGTTGTATACTATTTGATTAGAATAAGGAGAAAGTTTGAGTGTTTGAATGGATTAATTAGTTATGAACTGATTTATTTTGTCTCTTACTGAATATCATTTTCAATGAAGTCCAATGATGGAATGAAGGAATTCATGCTGTCTGTCTATTTTATTACTCCTTCATAAATCTTGCTTGAAATAGGAAGAGATCAGAGATTAGTAACAGATTAACAGTATCGTTAAACAGGTTAATTCTATCACATAATAGATGTATACCCCATCTTCCATAGCTTTCAATTTGATTTCTTCCAAATTAAGACATTTGAGAACTTCATTAATGAAATCCTAAATGCTCCTCTTTCTTTTGTATTGTAGGCCTGTCATGTGACTTTGAGAGCCCCTGTGATTGGCTAAGTCCTCCTATTGACATGTTCACTCCAGGATGGGAGGTACGAGAGGGGGCGTCGACCAACCCTTACACAGGACCCCCCGGAGGTTATGATCCGAGCGGGGAAGGTATAGTTTATATCTTTTTTAATCTCTTTTACATCTTTTATCTCTTTTACTTTCTATTTCATAACTTTAAACCATGTAAAATGAATTATATTATTGAACATTGAATTGTATATCTGATCTCTTGTCAAAATTACTGTTCTGTTGGAAATGAAAATAAAACTGAAAACTGAAACTGAAACATGGTGTCGGAGAGTTGATTTATTTCCTATATCGACTTTATGCTGACATAAAGAACAACAAAATTGAATCCTGGATTGGCGAACAAGTTGCAGCAGAGAGTATTGTACTCACTTTTGAATATCAAGGATAGAATTCTTGATCAAGAACTAAGGGTATAGTTCATTCGGTTCAAAAGGCGTAAATCTTTATAACTAAAGGTCACATAATACAAATTTTCATTGAGGTATACATGAGATATAATGAAAACATTTCCATATTTACTATTGCTTCCACTACCGCTGATTTTCCTTCTGAAATAAGAATACCCTAATGCAATCAGTTATGATGAGAATAAATATCTTCTGTTTCATAGCCAGGAGGGCTTAAAAGGTAAAGATCAGTTATGGAAATGCCCCCCCTCAAAAAATGAATGGTAGCTCTTATTACCAATCATGTGAAAGAATATGTTTTGACTAATACGTGATCATACAAATTTTTCCCAGAAACCGCCTACAATTGATATATTTGGTAAATTATTATATCTATTTGGACCTGATAGATATCGTGCACATGTTGCGTAGTCCCATATACATCTTTCTGTGTACAGTACTTTTAACTTTACCAAGACTGGGCCAAATTTCTTATCATTTTGATGATTCCAGAACCTTGCAGTACACACCAATACTTAATTATATGCTAGATGATCAACTTTTTCTGATCAATTCCACAACGTTCCTTTCACAATGCAATCGCATGATCATAACTGGACTTTATCTTTAACTCTTATTTTTCAAACAGATAAATGTCCTTCTGTCTTTCAACAGACAAGGGACTGCAGTGGAAAGAGAGAGAGGGAGAGAGAGAGAGAGATAGAGATAGAGATAGAGATAGAGAGAGAGAGAGATAGAGATAGAGATAGAGAGAGATAGAGATAGAGAGATAGAGATAGAGATAGAGATAGAGATAGAGAGAGAGAGAGAGAGATAGAGATAGAGATAGAGATAGAGAGAGAGAGAGAGAGAGATAGAGAGATAGAGATAGAGATAGAGATAGAGAGAGATAGAGAGAGAGAGAGATAGAGATAGAGAGATAGAGAGAGAGAGATAGAGATAGAGATAGAGATAGAGATAGAGAGATAGAGAGATAGAGAGATAGAGAGATAGAGAGATAGAGATAGAGAGAGAGAGAGATAGAGAGATAGAGAGATAGAGAGATAGAGAGATAGAGAGATAGAGAGATAGAGATAGAGAGAGAGAGAGAGAGAGATAGAGAGAGAGAGATAGAGATAGAGATAGAGATAGAGAGAGAGAGAGAGAGAGTAGGAAAGAGATTGACAGAGGAGCATAACGAGGATCAAGAAAAGAAATAGATGGCCAAACAGAGAGAAAATAAATACTTTTTGCCATAAAAAACGGCCTTCATGAGCATACTAATACATTCATGCATATAGAAACAGAATTTAATGATAACCACGCCAGCATGCTGAATAGAATATGAATACATGTACATTTACCTACTGGCCCCTAACTCATATTACCTGAAGTAAAGACGAGGCATCCATGGATCCTTCTTATCATATGCATGAGATGAAGAGGGCCGTTAAGTTATTTTGGTGAATCAAAAACATGCAGAACCAGAAAGGTGCAAATAATTTCAATGTAAGGTACCAAAGGTACTTCCAAAATACCAATAACTAATGGAAATAAAACATGCATAAACCAAGATATTAACATTGATAATGATGATAGTGACTTTTAAAGGACAAGTATTTAAAGTATGCTGGAAATGGTTACTCTCTTTTGTGCCAGCGACTCTAAGGCCTTTTAAGAGTAACAGTTTGGACTTTTGAGCCTTTGTTCATGCTGGATGGGTATGATATATCACTTTTCCTTGAAACTAAACTGCATTGTGGATATATTAATGTACCTAGTGTGGTTTCAGAAAGAAAGAGCACTTTTCTTTTGCTAAATGTGAAGACTAACATTATTTCTCTGGAAGAATTGTTCTACTTCAGCCAAATTATGGACTGAATTCCATGGCAGAATTCCCACTTGTGATAAAAGGAACGGTAAATAATAACTTGCCTTTAAACTGATTTAGAGAAAGGTGATCTCTTAAAATATGTCGATAATTTGACTTAATGCCCCTTGCACTGCTCTACTTATAGCTACCGGTACTTGTGCCCTCTACATAGCAAACAATTCCTAATCGGTGCCTGTTGGTCCCCTTTGATCCTCTTTTTCTTATGTTCGAGAGCTGATTTGATGAGATAATCACCTGTCAGTGACCTTGCAGGGAGGTCTAATCCCCCTGGCCAAACTAGTGCAGACAAGCTTTAACATGAAAGCAATCGAACGAACCCCCAATCCTTAATTTTGACTGTGAAAACTAATCTACTTTGGATTTGACTTTAATGATAAACAAACATATGCCAAACCTAGGACCTTTCATTTCCTTTTACAGAATGTCAGCATTTATAATGAATTGGAAAGACCATGTTAACCATAAAAGCATTTCATGCTAGACCATTTTGTCCATTGTGCAGCAATTTGTCGGAAGCGTGTCAACCGTGACATTTTCTTTGATACCCTGGTGACGGATCTTTATCAATGATTAAGTTCCACAGATGAGGGAGCTAATCTCAAAGTGATGAATTGAAGATAAGCAATTACGTTATCTACAGATCGGTTGCGACAATCATCTATATATTTATCAGATTATGATGGATGAATGCTCAAGGTAATTTGATACAAAATGGGAAATTGGTGACTTTTCATGAGACTCTATTAGTATGGAGAATTATTAATTTAGTTCTTTATATGTAAAGCACGTCAACATTTAATTTAGACTCATGATTTTTGTTATACTTATTTTGAAATTTCAAGGTGTTTCAAGGTGTTAATTTTGTGCCAGCGACTCTAAGGCCTTTTAAGAGTAACAGTTTGGACTTTTGAGCCTTTGTTCATGCTGGATGGGTATGATATATCACTTTTCCTTGAAACTAAACTGCATTGTGGATATATTAATGTACCTAGTGTGGTTTCAGAAAGAAAGAGCACTTTTCTTTTGCTAAATGTGAAGACTAACATTATTTCTCTGGAAGAATTGTTCTACTTCAGCCAAATTATGGACTGAATTCCATGGCAGAATTCCCACTTGTGATAAAAGGAACGGTAAATAATAACTTGCCTTTAAACTGATTTAGAGAAAGGTGATCTCTTAAAATATGTCGATAATTTGACTTAATGCCCCTTGCACTGCTCTACTTATAGCTACCGGTACTTGTGCCCTCTACATAGCAAACAATTCCTAATCGGTGCCTGTTGGTCCCCTTTGATCCTCTTTTTCTTATGTTCGAGAGCTGATTTGATGAGATAATCACCTGTCAGTGACCTTGCAGGGAGGTCTAATCCCCCTGGCCAAACTAGTGCAGACAAGCTTTAACATGAAAGCAATCGAACGAACCCCCAATCCTTAATTTTGACTGTGAAAACTAATCTACTTTGGATTTGACTTTAATGATAAACAAACATATGCCAAACCTAGGACCTTTCATTTCCTTTTACAGAATGTCAGCATTTATAATGAATTGGAAAGACCATGTTAACCATAAAAGCATTTCATGCTAGACCATTTTGTCCATTGTGCAGCAATTTGTCGGAAGCGTGTCAACCGTGACATTTTCTTTGATACCCTGGTGACGGATCTTTATCAATGATTAAGTTCCACAGATGAGGGAGCTAATCTCAAAGTGATGAATTAAAGATAAGCAATTACGTTATCTACAGATCGGTTGCGACAATCATCTATATATTTATCAGATTATGATGGATGAATGCTCAAGGTAATTTGATACAAAATGGGAAATTGTTGACTTTTCATGAGACTCTATTAGTATGGAGAATTATTAATTTAGTTCTTTATATGTAAAGCACGTCAACATTTAATTTAGACTCATGATTTTTGTTATACTTATTTTGAAATTTCAAGGTGTTTCAAGGTGTTAATATAGGCATTGTTTTGGGGAAGATCAGCTCCTTTGAAAGGCTTTGATAGCACCTTTTTGAATCAGCTATTGGTTTAAGGTGTTGGTAAGCACCTTACTGAACCAGCAACTACCTTTGAAGGTGTCAATAAACACCTTTTTGTACAAACACCTCTGTTTAAGGTGTTGATAAGCACTCTTTTGAACCAGTCAAGAATTCTAAAGGTTTTTAAAAGCACGTTTTTGAACTCCTTTTAAGGTTCTTAAAACCACCTTAATCCTGTATTGTATCAACTCCTCAAAAACAAATATGGTTTCCATTCAATAACTTTAGTAATATTTGACAGGTTTTAATGAAATTTGATATGAAAGTATATGGTATCAAAATACAGCCTGAGGTCGATTTCTGAGTATGTAAGCCAAATGTCACAGCTCATTAAATATGCAAAATTGCTAATAAAGAATTGCTAATTAGGTACATGGTAATTAGTTACAGTAATTATGTATGCAAAATTGTTGTTTTTCGTTCGATAACTTAAGTAATGTTGGTTGGATTTTGATCGTATGAACGTATCATTATAGGCCATTTGTACCAGGATAGGGGATGCTACGCTCTGCATTTTCTTGTTATTTCTCTCGCAGAAGCACAACTCATTTCATACAAATAACCCCAAATCATTTGGTGGATTTTAAGTAGGAGTAGATTCATAAAAATGGAGTGTTTTGGACTGGAAGTGCTCATAGGGAAAGATTACAATGTTAAAAATGAAAATTTCACAGACTTATTTCACAAAATTATGTGGATATACATTAAAACAACCATGCGTTTGCTATACCCGCCCACACTCTTCTTTTCCAATTTGTCAATGACATTCTTTGGTTGTTCTATTTGTTTGTTTTCTCATTGTATATTGTATCTTACATTTATATTTTTGGATGAAATTGTGCAATAACACTTGCATAATTGCATTTTGTATAGGTTCGATTAAAAATATATAAATTGAATCATATCAAATACATTAAGCAATCTCAAAATCAAATGTATTTGTGCACTCTCAAAATGTGAAATGTTATTTCAGAATCATATTATGATTACAATGTTTTCTTTAGACAGTGTTTGCCTATTTTATAGAATAATGTTCCTTTTTCTTTTTATATTTGTTTTTATAGCCATAGGGAACTACACCTATGTCAGTTCTCATGGAAAGTTGGATAGGGCGATGGCTGAACTGGAGAGCCTCACATATCAAGAGAGTGGTGCTCTCTGCAGCATCAACTTCTTCTACTACATGAACGGAACTGACACCGGGACACTTACATTATCGGTTGCCATGGACAACCAGAGATATCCCATCTGGCAACGCTTGGGCAGCCAAGCAGCAAGGTATGCCACTTTGTTTAATTTGGATGATTAGCTTTGAGGATTGTTAAAGGATAAGAGATGATGGCAGGTAACTATCTGCTGACATGCAAGCTCCAGCCTTGGCCTTTGTTCAAAGCTCATACCTTCCATGAGATAAACGGAATTGAACGATAATCAATATTCAACATTATTTAATGTAAGTACTCTATAGTGCAGTCTTTTTTATTACTGATAAAATGGTGTATTTTACCGGTGTGTTGGCTCAGTCAGTAGAGCGTCTGCCTCACAACCGGAAGGTCGTGGGTTCGAACCCCGGCCATGTCATACCAAAAGACGTTAAAAGACAGGAGTCGCTGCTACCTTGTTTGGCGTTCAACAATAGGGGATAGAGCAACGTCGATCTGGCGCTGCTCAGTGGCTGCCGGGCTCACGATCAATTGGGCAAAAAGAATTTTCATTTTCGGTTTAACTTAATAAAATTTGGAGTGGACTTTAACAGATTATTATTATAAAAGTTGTGGTCTAGTGGATACGCCACAGTGCTGGGAGTCACATTGTTCGCCATTAGAGTCCTGACACCACACCTATGTCCTTTGGCAAGACATTAATCTACATTTGCCACTCTCCACCCAGGTGAGGTGAATGGGTATCTGGTAGGAATTTATTTGTTAAATGCTTTTAGCGCCTCAGAGCTGCTGGGTTATAGCCAGGGTATAAACAATAGTACTTTGTAGGTAACTTGAGCATCCTCTGGGATGGACACGTGTACAATATAAATGTAGCTATTACAGTCAAACCTGTCTATAGCGACCGCCCAAGGGAAACACAAAAAGTGGCCTTTATAGACAGGTGGCCTTTGTAGACAGGTTCCCTTAGTACATTTTTTAATGAGAAACCATTTTCAAGGGAAACAAAAAATGCGGTCCTTGTAGACAGGTTGTCTTTAAAGAAAGATGGTCTCTAAAGCAGGTTTGACTGTATTATCATTATCAAGATCACAATTAAATCATGTATGCCCAATAATTTTGTTAAAAACTGCATTAGATATGGAGAAGAAAAAAAGAGAGAAATTTATTAAAATATGCAATATGCTTTTTAATCTTTTCAACTACACTTCTTTCATTTAGGTGGATAGATGAAGTCATACTGTTAAGGTCAATGCCCTCTCCATTCCAGATTGTGTTTGAGGCTACGATGACAGGGGGAAGTGAAGGAGATATTGCTCTTGATAATATACAGCTTCTAGACTGCTCACCAGGTCAGTTGATAGTAGAGGTGACCAGGGGGGTGTTTCACAAAGATCCTAAGTTGAACTTATCATTAAGTTGGACTTAACAGTTATGGAAAGCCGTTAGTATCTATGAAAATATTGTGTAAAGTTATTTTAAAAGGCATAAAATGTTGATTCAAATCATTCATATTTTCTGTTATCAAGGAGATTTCATGTTCTTGATGTGGAATTTATGAAAAGTCTAAAATATTTCAATTTTTGCTTTTGAATATATTTTATTTTAAAGCTACAAATGGCTCTCCATAATATTTAAGTCCAACTTAGAGTTTAGGTTGGCTTAGGACCCCTGTGAAACACCCCCCTGGTCTAGTAGATATGTCGCTGGACTGGGAATAACATTTTTAGCAATTTGAGTCCTTTTACAAGATATTTATCTGTATATGCCACTCTTCACCCAGGTGTATTAAATGTATTGAGTGTATTAAATATCTGGGACGATTTGATATGTATGTTGTTTCAAAAAAGCTTTGCGTTTATCATCTCTCAGAAACATGATTCTGGCTCATTCTCACATTCAAAACACACTTTTTTGGGCGTTTCAATATACCCATATCTAAAGACGTTAGAAAACAGGCTTGCATTTATCACCATGCAAATTTGCCTGAAACACGTTTGAAAACTCTGGTTCTAACCCAGAAAAGGGATGATAACCACTCTCTAGTCGGCCTGCCCATGCCTAATATGAATTTGATTAAGTTTTCTTCACTGTGGGATGATTCATCGGTCCAGGGATGGAAGGGCATTATTTCTGTGTTAAAGTAGTCACCAAAGAAAATTCACAACAATTGATAATTATGGACAAATCATATGGATGGAAAGATTTTCTCTAGAAAAACATGAATAATTTCCTGAAAAATCTTATAGATATCATGGAAAGGCGTAAAATGCTTTTTGGCTCGCTGTGTCTCGCATGTGACTTCACAAATCTTGACGCTCTACGGAGGACCGCTGAAAGCAGAAAATCTGGATCTCAAAATCAACATTTTTGAGAGATGATTATTGCAGGCCCCAAACATATTTTGAAGAGGGAAGTTGTTATATTTGATCAGTAAGGCTTCCCCTTCGCAACGATATGAATTTGGCATCAATTCAAAGCACTTTTAATTCTTTGGGTGACTACTTTAAGATCTATGAGCTATTAATGCCCTTCTGTCTCCAAGTAAATGTTATGTACATATATGTTGCAAGAGATTTCTTTCCAAGCCTGTTGGACATTAAGGCTCGAATGAGCAATTTTGAGTAGATTTATAGGTTGCCAGGAAATGTGACCTTTATAGAAATGGAGCACAGGATTTTTGTTTGGTTAAGATGATGCACTTTGGATTGAAATCGGTGATGATTGAGGGAAGGATGGGAGAGAATGGGAAAAGAGGAGACATTGACCTGGAACGGGAGAAGTCAAGTTTTGTGATAAAACTGCAAGGAAAAGACACTATTGGGAAATACCTTTTGGATTTAATTTGATTGGATAAAGAAGAAAGGGAAAAGGGAAGAAGATGTTGTTGAGATGGATGAGGAAGCTAAGATAGATGTAGAATGAGAGTGTAGAAGGCAGTGGGGTGCAGCCTACTTATTCTTTGTTTACAAACGAGGAAGATATTGAGAGAAAGAGCCAGATAGATAAATCTAGAGGGAGAGCAAGAGAGAAAATGAGAAAGTAAAAGAAAGGGAGAGAAAATGTGAGAGAGACAGGGAGAGAGAAGGTTGCAAATAAGAAAAGTTTCATAGGGAGATATTCATCAAAATAAAGTAAGGAGGGTGTATAATACCCCATTCACAGTGGTTTTGAAATTTGTAGCGGCGTTGTAGCGGAGCGGCGACACCGCCATAACACCGCTACAAATGCATTCACAGTAGAAAAGTTATCCCGCTGCAGCAGCGGGATAAATATCATGTACCCATTCACGCTGCAGCGGGTGATTTTTATTACCTCCGTAACAAACACGTGTATGCATGGCTCATGACCCGCGAGTGACCCCGATATGACCGGAAATACTTCAGCGCGGGGTTTTCGATTGCTTGAAATTGCGCGCGCTAGCTGTACTTTACACACTCTTCCTCATGTAGCTAGCTCGATTTAGCTATGGATCTATCTATACTTTTACGTAAAACTCAGCAAAGCACGGCACGGAAAAACGATGAGGCAAGCTTGCAAAAGGTAAACATGTCAAGTTGCTTTTTGTATCCTCGATCATATTACTTTTTAAAAAACTAGCATTTTTATTGCTTCCAGTCAGAATATTTTAATTTTTTGAAGTGTGAAATATTTTTATTTGGATAATTATAATATCTACATAATAATAAAATCAATTTGAATCCACTGGTTACTTTATTTCTATTTCACTTTATGTTCCCCATTGCTGGAGAAAAGAGGTCAGTGATAGGTAAGTAAACAAATCACACGTGTTTGTCGCGGTGTTATAGCGGAGAGCCTTCACACTGAGTAAACACCGCGACAGCAGCGGGACTGTCCCGCTGCTGTAGCTAGGCGAACCTAGCGATAGTTTGTCGCGGCGTTATCGCGAGGCGGTGTTATCCCGCGATAGTTTATAACGGGTCCGAGCCTTCACACTGAAGACAACACCGCGACAGCAGCGGGACAATCCCGCTGCTGTCGCGGTGTTTGAGGCCACTGTGAATGGGGTATAAAAAATAAGGATAGATAACAAGAAAATGTTGGAAGAGATAAACATGGAAAGGAAAAGGGATAGGAAGAGAGGGCAAGAAGGAGAGAGGTAGGGAAGGAAAGATAGAGACTGAAAGTGAGAGAGGTAAAGAGAGAGAGAGAGAGAGATTGTGAAAAAGAGGGAAAGTGGGATGTAGATACAGTTATATTCAGATAGAGAGAGAGAGAGAAAGAGAGAGAGAGAGAGAGATTGATAGATAGTGAGGGGTGAGGGGCATAGAAGGGACATTACAGGTACATAAATGTAATATAAAAATGGACAATTCATATATTCCCTAAAACATCAAAAACAGATAAGCAAACTATCTTTTCAACAAATCAAAACTGATTACTAAACCATGCAACACCATGCACAGAAGGAAGAGTATTTTATGACCCTTTTTGCTTTGTTTTTCAGTCATTTAGAACCATGATTGATTACTTTTGAATATCATCTGACAATAGCCCCATTAGAACCAATTCAGGTTGAATTAAGTGGAAAGATGAGAGCATTATATTCATGTTCTTAAAATGGTTTTAGTACAATCCATTATGTTGCCTGTTGAGAGCCAGAAAGAACCTATGAAACTCTTATGTTAATGCCTGTGAATAGGTATGTCCTCATCAGCTCGAGATTGCCAAATAACCCGCTATCTTAACTATCCCGATCGCAAATTATCGAGCTAATTTGCCTCTTCATCAGCCTGCAGTTGCAGTTAGCGGAATATTTGGTTGAGATAATCATCCCAAGATATCTTGGGCTACTTGGCAAAATATCCTGCTATTTGTTCGGTGCATCTTCACCAGCCCGAAGACTCACACTATGCACAAACGCTGAGCAAAATATCTCGAGCTAATTTCTCAAGCTGGAGCTGATGAAGACGCGATTTGTAACTTCAGGCTTATTTCCCAAATCAGAAATTGCAGGCTATTTGGCAATCTCGAGCTGATGAGGACATACCTAGTGAGTCGAATCTCTGCTGGCTCTCAGCAGATGATATATTAGATGGGCCATGCAAACATGCAAGCTGCTTTCAAGAGTGCTATCTCTTATCAGGAGAATCAGGAGAATAAAGAAATTTAGTGAGCTCTTAGAGCATTTTGTCTGTGGAGATTCAAAAGGGCATGATATACCTGTGAGCATCACGCCATTCAGTGAAATTCCGCTCATCTTTTTTTAACAAAGACATCTTCTAAACTAATGTTTTGATGTGAATTGACCATGTAAAATATTATTAAAACGAAATACATCAGAATCAAAAAATTATTTATTACAAAATAAACTACGGTAAATACTTTCTATTTTGAAAAACAAGTTTAGGAACCACATATAAGAAGACAATAAATGATTAATGAACTGATATGAGGAGAAGGTGAAAGTCAGAGAAAAAAGGTACTAAGTCGTTAATAATCATTAAGGTTCTCCATTAAGAGCTTCCTTGCTAGGCACCCACCCGCCTACCTAATGTGAATGTACATAGTGTAAAGGAGCATGAAGGCTGATACTCATCACTCCATTTCATCACTTGTCATCCGTTAGGATCCATGGATGAGCGATGTTTGTCTTTAAGGCATCGTTTAACAATGTTAAATCTGAGATGCGTGGCCCTACGTGTTATCAGTGTCTGTGATTTGGTGTAATATTGAAGCCCTAAAAAAATTGTGTTTCAAAATGATCATGAAGTGCCTCAAAAAAGTAAACAAATCTTTGAGTGACTGGTTCTACCATTATCATTTTCCCCAAATGACTGTAGTGTTATAAAAAATGTTAGGAAAACAAATTTTGCAATTTCTAATTCCAATCATAGATATCTTGATAATCAGACAGGCGATTGCTTTGTAAAAGTCATGGGATTCCTGACTGACCTAAGGTTTATAATTTGATTGCAGCATGAGCAAAATCCATGATTTTGTTTCAGAATCTTAGGCAATGTTACCGAGTCACTTTAACAATGATTCTGTGAATTTTAGAACTTGTTAGTCAATCATTTAACCATATGTATTAAAAATTACCAAAATTCCCTCAATGCGTTTATTGAATTTGAGCACAATCCCATGTTTCTGAGTATGATATAAAGTGTAAAGAGTTTATTCATTTACTTCAAAGATAATGAATGAAAGAAAGAGAAGAGAAAGGCAGAATATTTTCATACAAAAAGATACATATTCATATGACAATTTTCTTGTATGCTATGTACTTTAAAAAAACAATATACCGTAATGTATTAAGATACAAATGGAATATTGGTGCCAATAGATCAAGTATGCATGAGAGAGATAATTAGATTAGTCATTACTTACACGTTCAGATTTCTGTTTTTTAATTTTTATTGTTGCTGTCAGTTGTTTACTTTCAAAGCAATATATATATTTAAATTATTAA